TGGGTGTTATCTTAGCAGGTTCCAGCTTTTACTAAAAAAGTCAAAAACAAAGAAGTTCTTGTGATTATGATGCACTGTACTGCTTAGATAACACCCAAAAGCTTCTTTTCCATATCTTTAATGACTGGCCCCACCTGTCTGGGTATTGTGACCAGCTCATTTTGCAGAGAATTTCAAGGGCTATCTAGTGGTATGCTTTCGGACAATACATAATTTTCATTATGGCAGAAGAACGACTAACGGAGTGTTGAAAGCACTAAGATAGGTCAAAATCATTATATCGACCAAGTATTTCAACTATTGACCCATGTGGGCATATTTCTGAAAGACTTATTTATAGCTCATTTTGAAGCTTGTACAATTCTCTATTAAATGGTATATCCATCGAAGTGGCTAGTCGAGAAACATTGATCATAGAATCCACACCGTTGAACAAGTCACTCACTTGTCACAGTTGTGCAGAAAGTATTTCTAATGTCAGGGTGTTCCAGGACACTTTTGTCACTATTTTATATATCTGAACTTGTAGCGCGAGAAATTCTCTATTGAATTGTATATCTATTGTAGTGGCTGGATGATAAAGGGTGTCATAGATTATCTTAGACTTTTTGTACATAGAAGATTATTTTCAGATTATAGACAGAAGTATTTCTAAATATACGTGGGCTCGATTAGCTTGGTCGATTACCTATGATCCACATGTTTCTGAGATTCCCCGAGTCTGCATCGAGATAGGTGTGTCCTGAGAAAGCGTCTGTATCTCCGGAACCACAGGAGATGAAGACTTGGACCTTGTAAGTTTTGAAGAGAAATGTTTTGGCTATCGACTTCTATTATTTGAGATTGGATGTCATAGTGTGGCTTGGGAACGGTAAGCTTTCGTATTTGGTCTCGAATGGTACACCACGGTAAACTTGACCGGACGCCCTGATGTTCTCATAGGTGTACGTCCCAGAGTGTCTGGTTTCAGAATCTGGAAACCGCAGGTCTCTAGCTCTCTCCGTTGACATGTTATAAGCATTTTGCCGAGCGCATTCTTTTTAAATGTCGATAATAGGAAAGGTTCAAAAATTTCTTCATAGAATATTTGAGACTTTGTAAGAAAAAGATCTTTTTTCATAGACAAAAGTATTTTCAGACATACTTGACCTGAGAACGGCTATTTCCGTCTATATGATACACGAGAATGTGGCTAAAAAAGCTTTCGAATGATATATAATAGTCGTGAGAAATTGAGAAAGAATTTTACCCGAAAATCAGGGTTTGGAAATCATGTATCAAAAATTGGAAAAGGATGAGCTATTTTGCGTTGATATGGTAGATGCAGCATACATTGAAGAACATTTTGCCGGAGTTTGAGTAAACCGAAGACGAGCTAGAGCGAGTGAACTCATTATACTAAACACATCTCGTAGGAAAATTGATGAGCTTGAAAAATACTTTTATTTCTCTGCGAAGTTACTTAAAATGTTATCGTCTATGTAGCCGAACGTACCTAGAACCAGTCTCTATATCATTTTATTTATAATTTTTTTGAGTAAAGTGGAACGCACAGCACAAACGTACAGGACTGTGTTTTCAGACTAATTTTTGAACAAGTGTTTTCCTATAATCCTTGAGGGTTGCAATTATTATTATGCCAACAAAGTGCTCATGTATTTTTCGCCAATAAATCTGCAAAAACTTTACTTTTCTATTTATTGCTAAATGTCTACGTGAGTGTCCACTGTGATGATCTCAGTAATTGTCGAAACGTGTTGTTTCCGTGTGCCGAAATCACTTATTGTATCTGTAGCTCGAAACTGACCGAGAATCGTACTGTTCGACCCAGGCCATCCAGATTTGGAATAACTGGATATTAATCTTATAGGTAGGCACGTGAACCTTAGTGAAAATAAGAATACGAGTACTTGCCCAAGTACTCTCGCAAGTTTTGTCCAATATTTTCCAGATTTTTTGCAGAAACATCAACTACTGGTCAAGAAGTTAGGTACTTAAATTACTTTATCTTCTTATCAAATACTCTCTAAAAGAATTCCGCAGTTGACAAAACGAATGTCAGTTTTGGCATTTGCTCCTAATAGAAACCGCTATCCGTATCATACGGTCCTGCTTAACCGTTTCGTAGAATATGCTTGAACGTTTCCTCTCAGGTACAAAACCTAAATCCGTTTCTTCACAAGGCAAAACACGTTCAAGCGTATTCTGCGAAACGGTTAAGCAGGACTGTGCAATACGGATATCGGTTTCTATTAGGAACGAATGCCAAAACCGATATTCGTTTTGTCAGCTACGGAATTTTTTTAGAGAGTAGTTGCCGAAATACTTGTTCAAGTAATCAACGAGTACCACCCATGTGGAAATTTTATCGACTTTTCACGCGCGAGGGATCGTGAAAGCTTGGACTTTCACGAAATTTTGTAGGTAAAGACAGCAAGTTTCACGACAGTTTGGTCGTGTTGTTGCAACATCGCACGCGTGATTACGTGTGAAAAAAACTTGACTATGCCGACCATCTATAGTCAACCGACTATACATGGTCACCATGGTCAAGGTATAATGCAGATTTCATCAATGCAACTTCATCTATAACTGTTTCCACGTGTGACCACTAGTTTCTAAAATATCACATTTTATATATATCACCGCAAAGTAAGAGTCGAACCAGGGTACTTTGAATTAGAAATCTACGATACTACTATTGAGCTAACTTGCCTGAGAAACTACTGCATAAATCTCATATTTATAGTTGTCGAATCAATCCTCACGAGTTACCACGTGTAAAAAAGTTTCCACGCGTGATTACTCGTGAACTTCCTAAATCTTTTTTCTTAGTTTCCAACTTTTCCAAACTTTTTTAGTTAATACTTCCTCCAGGGGAACAAGATGATTCCCAGGTATATGCCTACAGCAAATACCTTCGGTCTACAGCAAGGGTTTTCACCTGTATTTATGTACAACTTTCGGAGGATATAGGCCGCTCAATCTTCAAGACATTTCGCACCTGTAAAAGGTTTCTCACGTGGACGCGCGTGAAACGTAAGAATTTTGTCCCTATAATATTTGTCGCTATGAATATTATTCACGAAATGGGTTGCATGAAAAACTGACGTGCGAATAAACGTGAAGATGTTTTTCACAATGAAATTAGTGGGAAACATTTTCACGCGTGTCCGCAAGTGATATTTTTTTACGGAAATTTTAACATGAGAAATTCACGTGTGGCCACTACACACTTCACGACTTTCACCTGTGATCACGTGCAAAAAATATGACGCGAAACGTTTTCGTGACCAGTTCACCCGTTGTCACAAGTGGAATATATTTTTCACGCGTGCTCACACACCATTTTACGATGTTCACGTGCGACCACAATTCATTTCACGATATTCACGCGTGTACACACCGCGGTATCTACTAAAATTTCGCCATAGGCAGTGAGAGGTTCAATACATATATGAAGTATTTGTCAAGTACTTTCATATACGTCGGCAAGTAATTATGAAGTATCAATTTACAAAGAACTTTTCGTTTTACAAGCATCTACAGAAATTCATTAGTAAATAAGCAGTTCCTCTCAAGCACATTCATTAAAGAATAAACTGTGAAAGGAACCTAACGTAACAGATTTTAACAACAAGTTCTTAATCATTAAGTAAAAGTTTGATATTCAGATTGCTCGCAACATATCTTAATAATAAACTGGTAAGCATTGTGAATAGAACCGTACTAAAATTGTAAACAATACTAACTGTTGCATTTCACAATGTCTTTTATTTAAAATAAAAATATAACGTAAGTATTTCGTAAGTACTGAGTACAGAATTTATGTAAGCGGTTTCGGTGAATCAATAATAGTATAATTGCGTAAGAAAACATAAGCCAGGATAAACGAAAGCACGATTGGAGATGATATACGATAAAAATAAGTGTATCGCCGACGTAAACAGCAGAAATTTAATAAATAAGATACGATAGTTGTTTATGAACAAGTATGACAAACTAAATTAGAAATTAGAATGATTAAGCGATTAAATTCATCAACATTTCTCTTACTTACCTAATGCCGACCCAAGTTTTCGACAAGGCACTTTGAATAATTTTTTTCGACATCTACAATATAGATTACATGACTATAACAAAATACAAAACTAATTGAACATGTTTACCTATTGCATCTTGCACATTCCAAATGGTAATATCTCATATCATGTTTAAATGCTTCTTCTTCGGCAGTAACCGGTCTCGTACATTTATCACAAATGGGTATTCGTCCAGCTTGATCACCTTGTATGGTTGTTATTTCACCGAGCATATTTTCAAGATGTGGCGCATGTTCTTTACCTTGATAAACACCAGTGATATGTTTACTACACGTTAAACATTGAAATCGACCATCTAACATATCGACAAAATTGTGACCTAAATAAGAGGAAGAACAGTGCATTAATGGACTAAAAAAACCAGCACAAGACGAACTGTTTTATACCATATCCGCTTTTTGTAAAAATTTCTGAAAATCATTGATTATATCGCGAAAGCTTTCAGAGAATACAGAAGTAAATCATTAATTTTTAGTTTTAAGTATATCTTACTTAGCTTGAGAATTTAATATAAAAGCTTAATTAATAAAACTAAACCGCAGTGAATGTACTTGGTACAAGTACTTGATTACTTGATGAGTACTTGGGACGTACGTGGCAAGTTAAACACTTGGCAAGTACTTGATCAAGACCTTGCTAAGTGTCGTTACTTGACTTGCTTCAGCCACGTACTTGAACAAATCAGTTACCCTTTTCTTTTAGATTGACCGCTTGTATATAAACACCACAATATCAATCACTATACACTTATAAAATAAAGTTATATATTTCTACTGAGTTGAACAAACTTAGTAGCCGGGCATGTACTTGGTCTACAAAAGTAGAGCATAGCTGCAGAATACGTACAAAATACAGAATGAAGATAAATGGAATAAGTATTTGACTGAAGCTTTTGAAGTAAATTTACCTGCATTGTGCCAGGTAAGTACTTACATCTACTTGTCAAGTACTTGGCTCAAGTCAGAGTTGTAACCGGGACGGCAGACCGGCTGGCCCAGTCCGATGTAAAAAGTTTAGTATGACCAGTGTTCACCAGTCTTTTGCCGGTCTAGAAAGATTTTCATACCGACCCATGATTGACCCGTTTTTTGCCGATTTTGAAATCCTTAGCATTTTTCTCTTCTTCATGAAAAAAAAAGAGTTTTTGTACCCTCTTGTCCGTCTAGAAAATATCTGAAAACCGGCCAGTTTTCTGTCGTTTTTTCACCGGTCTAAAACTTTTTTCAAAAGCGGTTGATCTTTTGCCGGTTTTTCATCAGTCTAAATCGATTTTTGGATCGGCCTCTTGTTTTTAGACCCGTTACAACTCTGGCTCAAGTACATTTACTAAACCCCTGTCCACATTAGAAGCCCAGTGGAAAGGCAAAATTTTCTCAAAAAGTACCCTGTGGAGGCAGGGGCAATTGTCAAAAAATTTCTTGCCAGACTGAGCTTCTAATGCGGGTGGGCTTCTGTTATGGGGTGGGCTTCTAATGTGAGGGGGAGTTTAGGGAATCTTTATGGGTTAGAATAATGGTATTGTAAAGAAACGGTCACATATGCATATCCAACGCATATACGAATGTGCATCAAAATCTCCATGGTCGAAAACCTACAGAGAAGATTACCAAACTATCAGGGATCAAAGCCGATCAAAAGAAAAGTCGTTTCCAAAATAAAAAGTCGTTTTTCAAAAATTACTTAACAAAAAATATTTTTTAAAAATTCATAGGTCTGTTGTTAGGATGTAGTGTAGATAAGTCAAAGTGTCATTATCGAATTACACATGGGTGTTACAGTTATTAGCCGAAGAAGTATAGCGTCTTTTATGACTAACACTTATATATTTATGTTTATCAGACGCTTGAAAAGAGTACGTAAACATCTCCAATGAATAGGAAAAAGTTTTTCTTTTCAAAAAATGACATCCATGCATTGAATAAAGTAAACAGCAACGAAGTAATAATAATAATAAAAGATACAAGAAATACAAATTTCTATGTAGAAAAATCATTTCCTTATAGACATACAATCTTTTGCGCGCTATACTTCATTTCTTTCTAATCAAAATCGTATTTGCACAATCTTGCGCAGGATAATTGCTATCTACTTTTACTTGTTTTTACTCTAACCATTTGATATCAGTATCTGTCATGTGTTTTATATGGCAAGATTTTAATGCTTTTCAGAAAACCAATTGACTTACCATCGGGTATAACAGCGGTACATTTGGCACATCTGAAAACATATACATTTTTTTCTTAACAATGCATGAATAAACTACGACGCATAAGCTAACCTGAAACAGTCGCTATGATAGTGTTTGTTTTGAAATCGTTTGGCGGTCACACCAGACGGTATTTTTTGTTGACACATACAACAACTAAAAAAACAACAATTAACAAACCACTTATATGCTGTTTATTAGATGCTTACACTGGTGCCAATACATTGTTACATTGTTCACATTGAAATAAATTGTTTGGTTTTGGAAAGAATGGTTTACCAGCTAAAGTATTCCCACATCCCGAACATGTAAAACATTGTGGATGATAATATTTTTCTTGATAGATTTGCATGGCTTCTTTTGGTTGAAACTGTTTTTGACATTTTTCACAAAATGTTTTTGTTAATGGACGATTGGCGGTAGGACCCGAACTCATCCTTCACTTTGTTATCGTTTATAGTCTACGTAAATACCTTACACAATAACAAGTACCAATAGCACCAGCAGAAGAAGAAGAAAAGAGATGAGCAGATATATGTCTGTATGAAGTCATAAAAACAAGAAGAATATATAATAAGTTAATACGTTGTTATTCATCTTTTTCTTTTACTTCCCACTTCGGCATTATGACGTTTGTTGATAATCTTCCACTTTCTTTACACGTATATGATATGTATGTCTTTATGTACAAAAATAGAGGAATACGATATCATGCTTCTGCTTTTTCTCTGTCCGTATAACAGAGGCCGAAATAAGTCAGTTATACTCCAGAGTTTCTTTCTTACTCAATGTTGAAACAGAATGATAGCATGACATAATTTACATTATTTTGTAGCATTTTATACAAAAAATGACATACAGAGGATCATGGTGAACTGTAACTTTTATCCAATATGTACAGAAGTGTCATAGAAAATAACCGATGGATCATGGATTAAACTTGATCAGTTCCTTTCGTGATTTATTTCAATATAATTTGAATTGTGACTCTTGACGAGCAGCTAGCTGACTAGCAAAGTTTTTTTGTTTTTTTTCTCAATGGAAAATTATTCTGTGAGTTGGTCTCATTAATATGTACAATACTCAAATCAAACGAGTTTCTGTCAACTTATCTTTTTGAAAAGTTTCGATTCTAGAGAGTAATATAAATTCTGTTGTTTCTCAGTATTCCCATATTCCGAACACGTAAAACATTGTGGATTGAAACTGGTTTTGATATTTTTCACAAAATGTTTTGTTAGTGGACACCCTGGTCGAACAATACGATCATATACGGGCCGTTTACGTACCGTATTTTACGTAAACCAAGTCGGTGTTTCACGATCGTGTTTAATGAGAATACGGCATACATACGATCGTATATGGCACAAATACAACGTTGTATACGATGCCGTATTACAGTGACCAGGATTACGATGAAACACGACCCGTTTTCGTACCGTATCTCACCGTAACGGCCGTGTACGACGAAAAATACGGATAGCTGTAACCAACGTCCCGGACGATTGTCAGTGAGACCCGAACTCATTCTTCACTTTGTTATAGTCTGAAATTTTAGTTATGTCGCACTTTCTTATTTATTAAAGTCTTGCAGTTGAGTTACTGATAGTATGTTTGTTGATTTCATGGCTATCAAAGCGTGTAAAGTAAAATTTGTTGACTAGTCCACTGTCATAAAAAAGCTTTTCTGTTTGTGTTGCGAAGAAAAAATGCAAAATACTAAACTATTTGTTATGATTTCTTGGTTAATTCTTGTATTTTTTGTTTGTCTTATTCGATGTCCATGTGGTAGACAATCATCGACAGCGTTTGAAAAACGCAAAGAAATACACTGTTCCACTACTGATGAAAAATGGATGGAGGCATATAATTCACTCGATTCATTCTTAAATGATATAAACACTGATATTTATAAAATGTTTGTACAACTTTTAAAATTATATTATGAACAGAATCACGGAATCAGTGATGGAAGTTATGACCAATTGTCTATCGATCAGAAAAAAGAAACAAAACAATATATTGAAGATGAAAAACATCATATTCGTCTGGCTATTTATTTTGGTTGATCAAACGAAAAAATCTTAAATTATTTACAAGAAATATTGAATTATCATAGAAATAAGAATGAGTGTGACGTAGCAATGCCTCTAGAAGATGAATTGACTCAATTACTTGATTCTGTGGAGTAAGTAATAACAAAAATCTCAACATGTCAGTTCAGTGCAAAAGAATTTTTTTAAATCTTTGACAATTTTGATTCTGTAAATAACTAGCAAGGACGACCAGTTTGTTCAAGCTTCAATTATATGTTTTAGCGGCCAAATTTTAATTGACGAAGATATCATTCAAAAACGTGACCGAGGGAAAAAGTCTATTATGACCGAATTAATAGAACGTTTAAATGAACAAAAACTTCGAGCTGAAGGAGCAAGTAGCGACGTTTTTGTCCCACCTCGAATGGCTCGACGGCTTAAAGCTGAAACAGCAGCTGCCACCAATGTAAGACAAGAAATGTCAGAATTACAACGAAAATTAGCGGCACGGCGTGAACAAAAGGATGCAGCTTATACAATAGATACATGTGGTGCCTCTACTATGAGTGAAAAACTTACATCATTGAAAACGCGTCCAGAACCATTTAGTTTTGGTGGTTCGAGTACCAGCGGAGGACAAGGTTAGAATGCTTTTTTCTTGCTCTCCACAACACTAGTAGCTTTCTATTAAATGGATGTTTTTGATAAAGATTTTCTTTTCTATACTATTTTGAGAGTTCAGGTATTACTTCACCTGGAGCATTCAGGCCGACAACACCAGGTCATATAAGATTGGAGCGTCTCATACAATCATCATCATCTAGCACTTCATCAATGTCATCAAAATCAGCAAGCTTTCGTGGGGGCCTTCTTCGCCCATCTGTACCTCGTACAGCAATCGTAGAACAGAGAAAAATTATTGGTACTAGTGGTGATAATGACTTAATGTCAAAACTTGCAGCTAGAAGAAAATGGGAAGACGAAAAAGATGACGCAGGAAACTAGTATTAAACAAACTTCAATGAGCAGTTTATCTTAACAAAATACAATACAACCCACATCAGTTCTATTCCATCGAATGTTAGATACCAAACAAACTGTTACAGACGCCAAAAAAACAGCTTCCTTGGCTATTGTTTAAATAACTTCTCATAGAAAAGTGAGAGCGATCTGCGCTTTTCAGATTCTCAAAATAGACATTCTCCCACAACTTTCACTAACTAAAAATTAG